TGATTACAAGAAAGTAAACACCACCTATTTGGGAATTTCGTTCATTCACCCTATCAAAGTTAAGAAAATAAAGAATGCCTTTTATTTGTGAGTTAGTGAAGCTATCTTCTTGAGACATGTTCACGATGATTTCTCAGCCTTTTAAACTTTGTTTCCGGCAATGCAACATGTTCTTATCTATTAGAATTTTTTTAATTGTTACTCTTTTCTAAATTATCTTTTCTTTTGTACTTTGAATTTGAAAAGAAAATGAATTGCAAAAAAAATGTTGATGGTGTAGTTTGAAAAAAAAAACAACTTGTAAAGTCTAATCGATAAGATAATGTCGCATAATAAAATGAGAATGAAATAGTTAAAGGATCGTCATGATTACATCTCAAAAACTTTTGTCAGCACGAGTGTAGTTTTTCGAAAGGTAATAAAAATATTATTCTAAGTCTGTGATTCGTATCTACATGGAGCTTTTTATTATTTACAATAGTCTATCAAGAATCATCGAAAATTATCTGCAGCTATCAACTATAATATCATGTTTGTGCTGACAGACTTTAAAATTTATTTTTCACTTCTATGTATGATGATATTTTTATATTGAGCCATTTGAAATGCTCGGATTATGTACGATGACATTTTTTTTTATTAGTGAAACCACTGTGTTTATAGCCTTAAAATCATTAGACTATATTTCTTTTTAATAGCAAAGTATTCGAATAACACAAAAGTAAATTATGTGGGAATGTAATCATTCGATATTAACCGCTGATGAGATTAGCGATCCAAGCTTGTGTTTTGAGCAATTTTATTTGTATTCTTACTGGAAAATAATTTGATATTTTTTTTTACTGGCTTTTGTTTTCTGATAGTATTCGAAATATAAATATTTTTTGATGTATTGCCTTACACAATATTCGTCATGCGAAAATCATTCAGGTAAATCGTTTTGTGCACAACGCGCACGCGTTTTGTAAATAAGTTTATGATAGAGCGTGCAACGAAAAAATATTAAAAAAAGGAAAAACATTCAAACGAATTTAAGAAAAGAAGAAGCATATACAGTTGTCTTGCTGCACACCTAAAAAACCAATCATTAGACAAAACAAGCAAGCAATGTTAGATAGAGAATATAAACTCTAATAAACGGCTTTTCGACCTGCAATTTTGTTCATCTATTAGATTTCGTTTATTTTGTCTGTGTGAGTAACTTATCCCATGGAGTACAAATATGCAAAGAGATTATGTATTTTGCACTATTTTAATGAAATTTCTCAGTAAGAGACATGATGACCGACATCATGAAGTGTCAATCGATCATTCAATATCCTCATCTTACTGAACTCGATCTTACTACGGCTCATCTCGATTATGTTACACAATTTGTTATTTGATATCAAAACATGTTTATCAAGTAATATTTTTCTTTTAGTCAATTACCAACTAATGAAATAACAAACAACACGAAATAATTGTGCCACATTCAATCGTATTTTATTTTATAAAAATTAACTTTTACAGGATTATTTTTCTCATACTAATATATTATAACGAGTTTTTATTTATTTATTCTTTAAATAAAATTAATTAAATATAAATTCTTTTTTTTTGTTGAATTGGAAAATTAAAATAAATAATGAATAATAATTGAAAATAGATATAGAGAGATCTATATTGTTACAAATAAAAATGTGTTTATCTACTTGATCATATTCTTAAGAGAAAAAATGAAATTATAATTAGAAAGCAATAATAGACAACGAAAACAAAACGGCCTTACCATGCGTTATGAAATTTCATTTTTTCACATTACAACATCTATAATTTCTTAGTAATAAAACCAAGCTGTCTGAAATTTTCATCACACATAGAGATTGTTTAGATCTATTACCATGAAAAATTTCATTAATTTCTCTTGGGTGTGAGTGAGTGTGATGTGTGGGTGTCAGTGTTGATATTTTCTTCATGCACATCCCACATCCTATAGGTATCAGTCTTTTCACTAGTAAATGGATATCCTATAAACACACAAATCAAATTTAAAGAATTCAGATTGAATTTGATACTCTATTTGTAGAATGAAGTGATCGCAATTATGGAAGAAAAACCTTTTATTGTTCTCTTAACAGGTAAATGGAAATCGATGTTGAATGGATGTGACACATCGTCCTAATGCCATTCGAAATTCTCGACGGTAGGTCACTGAAACTAATGTGTGAATATAAAAATTTAGCTAAAATAACGATTGGATACAATGTCAATGACAACAAAACAATATTGTTAACTTACTGTTCCATAAACAAATGTTAAAAGAACCGCCGTTCCATTGATAAAGCTTTCCGTTGCTGCTCGATCGGCGCTTCGAATGGTCGAACTTGTGTTGATCATATACAGAGCGTAGCTAGCACTCATTGTATTGAACATAATATAAATGAGAACTTGAATGAGCGAAATCATTGTCAGTTGGTTACCAACTTTCTTTTGTTCTTGTCGGTTCTGTTGGTCATATGGTAATACTTGCTTGGATTTGCCAATGGTTACAGTATTCGTGGTCGTATGCTTAACTGTGATCATTTGAGTGCCATGTGTGTTAGGTATAATACGATTGCGTCGTTGACGCAATCCATGCAAATTGAAGATAGTTAACAGACTAAAGACGGTCATCACAGCAATTGGTGTGATCGCCTCGATTGTGACTGAACTAACAGTGATGAAGAGAGTGTAAGCACCCTCCTGTCTTTTGCAACTTGAACCATCTCGGTAGCCAGAATAACCAATCCAAATATGCACATAGAAGATCATCCAACACAATACACTCAATGGAACATACCACTTAGCCACTTTAAATGAACTTATTCGACGAAGTTTAACACTTGTTGATGTTACCAGAAAACGATCGATAACAATCGAGCAAAGAAAATGACGACTCAATGTTAATGAAAGCGTTGAAATGTAAATGCGACCTGTACAGTACCATCCGACAGTGCGTGATGGATCGGGAAAACCCATATATGCTAGGATACGAGTCAGATATCCTGTATTGATAGCAATTAAATTCGCTACAGAAGCAGCCAGAAAGTACCAAGAACAAACACTCGAAGCACGCAACTTTGATTGAGAGAAAACAATCAGATTCAGAATATTACCGATATTACCAGCGATATATAATGGGCAGTAGACATACCGTGCCAGTTGGCTCTGAATGTATGAAAAAATAACAGTTAATGAAGATACATTGGACATTATTATTATTCTGCTATTAGAAAAACTTTCTTTTCTGTAAATGTGCCAGCTATAACTTTTTATTTACTGTCGTAAAAACATCTCTGAAGATGTATCACACCCGCGTTTGCATTATGAATCTGACACTAAGATTAATTATCTTTTCAGGCGAGATTAGATGAAAGGGAGTTGTCAAAAAAAAAGGATCACAGCATCTTGTTAGATACAACTTGATACATCTCTCTGTTTTTAATTTTTTTCATAATCATTACCAGTAACGTTTACGTGTGAATCTTGAAGAAGTCATTTAGAAATATGATCTAGAAATTTGATTCACGTTAGAATGGCCGAAGCAGTGACACACATTAATTTAATTAATAAAGTTGTCTCTAGCAAAGTATCTCTGAGAGAGATTAGTTTCAAAATGAGAAATGAAATCGTGGATATTTGCGTCGCTTCCGTTATCGCACGTTAGCGCAACATCTCATCAGAGAAAGGTGAGGGATGAGTGAGGATATGATCCCATATTCGAACTCGATTCGACAACTGCATACATTCTGATAATTTAGGGTGCACATAATGCAAAATTGCAGCAAAATTATTTATTGTTTCTTTTGACATGGTTAAATAGAGCACAACGAGCTGAATAAAAACATATGTGTTTTAAATTTTTTTGCAAGTCCTATGATAAAAAAAATCGAAGTTTTTCGATAGCTCTATATAATCTACTTATTCTAAAAAAAAATTTTTCTTGATAATAAACTGATACATTTTTTCAATTTTAAGAAAATTTTTCGTTCCGTCGAAGTTACAAAACAGATATATTCAGATTCCTCGTGAGAAACTGCGTCTAATGCACCTATTGTTGACCTGTTTATGACGACATTCAACTATAGTATGGTCATAAAATGTATACAGTCTGATACAAGGAAAATATAAGAGATTAGGATGTTCGTGGATTTATTTGTAAAGCTGGGCGTGGGTGTTGGTATTCATTTGAAGCCACACCCACACCCTTCTGCTCTCATAATCGTTGTAAACCTGATCAATAGTGGATAGGTGTCCGAATCTCGTCGAGTTAAAGTAGAAATAATTCACTTTCGACAAAATACGAAATGAAGTTTCACCTGAATAACCATTGATGACCAATGATTCGAAAACTAGCTGAATCACAAACATTATAAGGTCATACCACACTCCACCTAGAGTTTTGCTGATGTTTCGTGAACTTCGTGCTCACTGTTTTTTTCTCGAAAATCATAGCATATAGACCAATACACTGAAACTTGTTACTCGAGAGTATACAGAACGTGATCTTAAACATGCCTGAAGTAATCTAATTTTCCACAGAAGTTTCTCACAATCTGTGTAGTTGCTGACGTTGAATGACAGACGGAGATCATGAGAAAAAAAATGGTAAATAGATGATTGAGATAATTTAAGAAAACAAAAGTTGAACATTGATAGATTGATTTGAAGCAAATCACGTTTCAACATATTAAAATAAAAAGAATATTTTTTTCGTATAAACATAAAAAGAGTATTAAAAAAGCAACGAAAGAATTACTCAATCCGACACCGAATAGAGTGGATCTTATTTTGACAAATGGATATAGCTTCTTGATCGTTCGGTAAACATTTTTCCATAATATCGAAAGCTTGATTGTATTTAACCAATTTTTCTTTAGTATTGTTCGTTAAATCTTCAATAATCATGTATATTTCAGCAATATGTGGATGAATATGACCGAATACTTGCGACGATGTATCAGGTTTTCATTTGAAAATCAATGAAACTCTTCGATCTTATTTATCTTATTATATACATTTAGAATATATTTCAAATATTCCAATAAACATGGATGTTCAGTAGGCATTGTTATCTGTGCCATTTTATAACCAGAATGATAATATTTAATCGCACGATTTAATAAAGATTGTTTATCAAAAAGATTTTCGAATTTAATCAATGTGTTTGCTATTTTCGTATGTTGACTTGGAAGAATACGTTTGAACATTTGAAATCCTTTTTTTAAATAATCTAAAGCATTTTGATAAACATCTAAATCTGTAGATGTATCACCAATCGAAACAAGTGCTATAACAGTAATCGAATGATCTATATCAAAATAATTTCTTTGACATATATGAAGAGTGTCATGAAAATAATTCATAGCTAAGTATGCATCACCATGTCTTTTATAATTCCATCCAAGATTAATTGATCTCATTGGGCAATATCCATGTCATATAGTTTACGTGTTTGTTTTAATATATTATGAGCAAGAATACCATATTTTATAATGCTTGATCACAGAGATTTTTCTTATAATAAACATAACCAAGTGCATGATATAATGATGGCAGATCTTGGTGATCATTGGGTAATGTTTGAATAATTGATGGAAAGTATAATTCGGTTTTGGAATATAGTCCTATATCAATAATTAATTCGTCGAGTAATGTTGTCGGATTATATGCTTCTAACTCTTGTCGTTTTAATTGGATATATTCCTGTATATATTGAAAATCTTTATTGGTGACAATCATTTGTACTCCATGTTTTATTGATTGTCGAATCATAAAAAATCTTTTCAATTTTACATGTTGTTCCAATACCGAATAAAACTTCTTTTTCTTGTGGAAAACGACTAAAATGTTTGATTGAAGCGATGACTAAGATGGAAGTTGGATCTAAAATCGATGGATCATTTGTTATTTCAAATAAAACTCCATTCGATTGATCATCACCAGCAAATATCAATGCTATTTCAGGATCTTCTGATGTAGAATAAAATCCAGTCGGTGATATATAGTTTTCAATCGAATTTTGAAGTATTTCTAATTCGTTTTTTCGAAAGTATTTGTCCATGATACAATTTAACAATTACATTTTTTGGTAAAGATGATAAATATTTGTTACTTTCATCTTTGATTTGTTGACATAAATCAATAATATAATATCGAAACAGGTATAACAAAAATGTATCTTTTGTTCTTAATGCTTTATTTAGTAATTTGTGAAGAAAATTATCTTCTGTATACCATCGAATAGCATCGGATGGTTGATAAGAATCTTCAAAATAGTTGATTTTATACAATTGGCTTGGATTGGCTTGATAATAAGATCGACATAGATCGATCATTTGTTGTTTAGCTTCATCGGTTTTTGATAATTCTTTTAATACATCAATTAATAAATGAAACAATAGAAATGATGCTCGTTTCGATTAAAGATTACGTATCGAATTTAAACTATGATTATTGAATAAACTAAATTCGATTTGTCTTGACAGAAGATCAATACAAGTTCCAATCGATTTTAATAAAGAGTTTTGATCATAAAAACAACCAATTAATTTTGAATAAACAGGAAAATCAATAGAACATGAATTGTGCTTATTCGAATAGATAAATATTGAATCGATTCTATTCAAATAACGGATATGATTTAAAAATTTGTTTGTTGAAAAATGTTTCGAAAGAATTAAAATGATTTTTTCATTAAAACTTTGTTTCCGATAATCAAGACAAAGTTGGGATCGGTATATAACAGAATACAATCATTTAATTGATGAAATTTTGAAGAAATTTCGATTGATTCATTTGAATCATCAATATTTTCATCTAGCCAAATCAATATGATATCTTCTCCATTTTCAACAATTTCACTAACAGAAAAATCTCGTCGAAATTTTTTACTGATTGACTTGATAGAGTCCATTTGGTCGTTTTCATTTTCCATCTAGAATGGACAATACAAAAATGAGTCTTTGCAATATTCAGATTTAGTTTCTATTTTGAAATTTAGAGATAATAATTAAAGGTGTGGGTGTGGACAGATACAAGAGCAACACCCACACCCACACCCACATCTACACTCACACCTACACCCACACCCAAATCCCACACCCACATCCACACCGATACAGACACCCACACTCTATTTGGGCATAGTCTCATTCAGCATAAAATAGAAAGTCCGAGTAGTATGCGATACGGTTTTCTTCAAATACGAGTACAAATCTCTTCTTTTTTTAGTTTTTAAGGTCTAAAACTGACCGGGGACAAGAAAGAATTCCCAAATGTCGAACTCGGGTATTGTAGAGACGAGTTTCTTTTTGATTACTTTCATTGTATCGAATTCTACGAGTATCATCCAGTTTGCTCCTTCATCGTGATTTTCATTGTCTTGTTCGATCATAAATAGTACTTCACGATTTTGTTCATTTAAAACAGCCTTAACCGATTCTACTACCAATCCACTACGTGTCTCTAAGAGGAGTGTCTCATTTCGAAACTCACTCGTGTATGGATTCATGTAGAGCATGACAAGATCTCTATCGATTGATCCATGTTGCCATGTTGCAAGCACTAGTTTCGTCTTGATGTCATAGGTCATTGTACAGAGGTTGCCAACATTTGGTAGCAGACGAAATTCAGTGACAATGTCTTTTTTCTTGCCGACAAGGTTCAAATCCATTTTGATGAAATAAGCGTTGACAGTGCTGCCTTCGAAACGTGTTCTAACTTGAACAAGCCAGTTTTCGTCGTAGTCAAATGCGGAACACCACGCATATGGAAAGGCATACTTTTCGCCGTCTTGTCTCGTATACTCTCGGACAACATTCAACGTTGCCATGTTATACTCTTCAATGATAAGTGTAAATGTACTGACGTCACGCAATCCGAACAAACGTTGACGACGCGGATCATAATGAAGAAAATGAAATACGCCATCGTTCAGGAGCCATCGACTTTGCCTGTAAATTTTCTTTTGTATCTCATACGCCAGTAAGAATAGACGTTGAAATGAAGTACCACATTGTACAGGCATGTAAATTGTTGAAACGCTATAATTGGTGACAGCTACAGGTCCCGCTTCGAAAAAGTATAAATCGGTCGTGTTATCGCCAATTTCAAATGAAAAATTTCCATAGAATCGAAATGCTGATGATTGCAGATTGTAAGAAAAAATGCTTCCATAGTGTGGGATCCTAAAATCAGTTGAAACAAATATCAAATAAATTTCATAGATCAATCTCTATACCCTTGAAACGGTGCTATAGCGTAGTAGCCAGTCGCTGATGATAAAAGTGCGTTTCCAGAGATGAACATAACGAGTTCGAAAACCATAACTTGTACTTGATGCATCATGTCCGAACAAAAACGATATTCTTGTGTTGTTGTCTTGTCGTTTGTGCACGTGTTCTTATCTCATCTGACGAGTAAAGATTCTTGTCATCATGATAACGTGAGGGTGTGGATGTACATAAATCAATTGAAAACAGACCGACCTATATATCTTTGATGCAAATCAATCTGCTAATCATAACTCTTGCTTTTCAGCAATCGACTAAGTCGAAAATTAAATAAAATATTAGATAAATGTGTTTCGATTAAAATAATTGAGGATGTGGGTGTGGGGTAGGTGTCGAGTGTGGGTGTGCGGTGAGAGTATGGGTGTTGATACGGATGTACGTCTGGTCGAACTTAAGACTCAGTCACACGCACACTTACCCAACCTCATCCACACCCACCCCACATCGACACACCCACATCCTCTCTTGATAATTGATATTTCCAGATAATCTTCTTTTATCTCTAATTGGTCCAAGAAATTGTCGAAATTCTTATTCATCAATTGTCTCATCATGATTTATATCAGCACGATTAAATTGACTTTCGATTCTTTGTTGTTCACTCATTTTGTTTTTATGTATAAACACTTGATATCAATTGACTTCTTATTGAAGAAAATCTCCACTATATATAGGTTACCTATGACATCTTTTGTTTCAATCAACCGAAACGAATATTGTCATTTATGCATATGTTACATTTTTTTTCGTGTGATCGATACATTATTTTAATAAAAACTCAACAGTATACATGACATTTACATAGATCATTTCTTTCTTTTTGTTTTTCTCTATTTCAATAATGTTTGTTGTCTTTTGTTCTTTTTTTGATGGTTAATCGTCATTCATATTTATACTTATTAATTCAAATCACCTTGAATAATACAATATATAGTTATTTCCTTACTAAACAAAAAATGGGTTAAATAAATAAACAAAAACTTTAAAAAAGTAAGATTATTATGATATGATATTATTTGACTGATTTATTAAATATTTATTCAAGAAATGATATAAGAAAAAAATTGCTGACACAATTTCTTTGCGATTAATGTGTCGAACTTATATGGCTTGATTAGATTGATTATATTAATAGAAAATCGTCAATGTGTAGAATCTATAAAAGACGATTGTTATTTTCGAACGATGATCGACTGTCAGAGAAGAATCTTTTTTTTTCGACACTTAGAAGTGAAATATTCTTTTCTTTTTTTTATGGGTACTCTACTTTTTCATTTGTATTGCTCATATTCGATCGCTATTTTTCTTTTTCGCATTTCGCGTTTCTTTATTTAAACTTTCTTATTATAATAAACATTGAATTAAATAGCAAATAAGTCTCTTCGATAGATGCATTAGATATCAATCAGCAGATCTTAACGTACTATTGTATATCTACATTAACTGACAAACACTCATATTTATTATATTTCAAAGTTCTAACTTGATCAATTCACGCTTTTTATGTTTATAATAGAAGAATTGTATCAAATCAATGCATGACTATCCATTATGGTTGATATCTTAAATAGAAATGATTATCTATGCAAAAATCTCAGACTGTCTTATTTAGAATATTGAAAAAAGATATTGAAGCGACTTTAATTTCAAGAAAGATTCTTGAATGTTCTAGAACCTTCAAAATCTTGTTATTAATATCGTTGACCGAATTTTTGTATAGGTGTAAGTGTGGGTGTACCTGTGTGTTTGAGGCTTCTCTTGAACAATCTCACACTCACACCCCACACCCATCTTGTGCTCAACATATGTCACTATCAAAGAAAGCGCTATTGACATGGAAAAAGGTACGATTAGGTTTTAAAATTTAGAATTTTACTCTTGAATGATTATAATGTTTCAACTTCTTCTTAAAGACAATTCAAAAGTTAGTCTGTTGAAGTCCTTCAGCACTGTATCGAGAAACTCAAAAGATGCTTTGTGTGTGTTATCGAAAAAAATACAAGTGCATTCCGGAAACAGAATAAAGGACATGTGCTCATAAGATCATTTTTTCGCCATGATATTTTAGATCTTTCTTCTGTTGCATAAAGAATAGAACAAAAGTTCTGACTCAATTTGAATATCAAGTTTTTCTTCGTGAAATACATGATTGTATACTCGTCTTCATCATGAAAAGATCCAATAAAACACGATCTATAATATGACTTTGGATTGACCTCACTATTTTATGAAGTAAGAATTACAATAAGAATACTGTATGCTATTATTCAAAAATTTTTATAATATAACAAAAAAAATACAACACATATTGTGTGTAACATATGTCCATTGTACTTTGTAAAGAGACTCTGTTTTCTGAAAAATTCAAATCCATTCGTAAATCTCTTAGCATACCCTCAGAGATTTGCGAGAAGGTTTCCGATCACTTCATGCTTTTCTGAAAAATACCTTCTAGGTTTCTGAAAGCTCGAAAAGTCTTAGATTTTTCAAAATACCAGTTTCGATATCCTCAAAGTATTTTGACATATCTCTCATTTACGATCGGAAACCTAATAGTATATTCATAAATCTTAAAGGTATTACAAGAAACTAATATTGATAGAAATACTGAGTTGGTATTCAAAGATGTATGCGAGGATAGCTGTTCGGTTTTCGCAGCCTTTCATAGGAAATCTAAAGGGCTTTCGAACCTCATGAATTTCAAAATGGTATAGCGGGGAAGCAAAATCGGTTCCTGAACTGTTGTTTGGCACACTGAAAGGTTTCTGAAATTTTAAAAATGTTCAGAATGTGTGTGAGAGTCCATGTCGGTGCATGTGTTGGTGACGATCTTTGTTTCTCAACAACCAATATCAGCATTGATCCTCAGATAACACTCATCAACAAGCGGATCACATTCAAACTCACACCCAAACTCTCAAGCAAAGTCGAAATCAGTCATGGCAGCTTCTTTACATCCACTAAAAACACCTCACTTTTATATAGATTTAAACAACAAAAATATTTTAAAAAATTGTTTTTTTTTCATTTCGTTGCTGTTATCTCGTTCAAAATCAGCTTCTTCGTTCATTTTTAAAAACAGCTTTATCAGAAAAAGTTCTTCTAAACTCTCACAAAAAAGATGAATCATTAAAAAAAAGTATCAAACAAAACAAACATCAATCTAAACAAAATATTTTTCTCATATTAATCACATAGTTATTTTCCTTCTTCATTATTTACTCTTTGTTAACTTGGTTTATTTCATAATTTCATTCTCATCCTGAATCTTCTTGATTTAGACATGCAACGTAATAGAATAATGAAAAAGAAAAAATTTAAGCAAATAATAAGACATCACTGCAAGCTTTTTTCGTATGTCTTTCTTAAAGTTAGCTGAAAATTCTAATTGTTTGGTATCATGACATCACCGTCAATTATGTTATTGTCGTTTCTATGATTATATAATGATCAAAAATAACTTGCATCGAAACTTAAATAATGACATTTTTTCTCAGTCTCTTTGGAACCGACATATGACATTTGTTCTTACGATATTTGCTTTCCACAGAGTTGTTTCTCAACAGAGACTTTGTCAAAATCCGAATCAATTGAAAAATAAATATATTAAATATTGATATGAATATCATCTTCACTCTTGCACCTCAATATTCTGCGGTTCCTATAAGTTTTCAAGAGATATGTTAACAGACCTTCGAGTACTAAATTAATAAAGAAGTACAAAACAATAATTATTAAGTCAAACTATGAGAGACGGATGAAATTAGTCTCTAATGATTACGGAACCTTTTTTCACACGTTTACTTGAGATCTTTAGTATGAACCTAACCAGTTTTTTTGCCTCTTATATCAGAAAAGTCATCCAGTCACATCTTGGTCAAATAATATTTTTCGAGACTAAAAATTTGAGCCGCATCCGTTGGAGCTCAAGTGTTAAGTCATATGAACGAACCTGCAGTAGAAAACTATTATCTCGCGAAAATATACTAAAGCAAGGTAGAAGTTCAATCATCTAGTTTGATAGTCAAGTTAGTGCGATATTGTAGTAAAATAATGAAACTTTTAGTTCATTTTTTTTATTATAGTAGAAAACGAATATAGATTTGGAGACGTACATCTCTGTTGTGGCTCCATGTCTTATTTTTCGCGCAATTATGTATAAATAATATCAATTTATTATTTAGATATTAAGTTAAAAAAAAGAACATGGTTTTTATTTTATTTTTTTTATTGTTTACAAGCACAACCAAGAAAATTTGGTTGATTATAATAAAAGTCAATTGTTTTATCAGTACATGCTCCTCCTCCAGTTGGACCAACATGTGAACAATGTACAGATGGAAATAGAGAAACAAAATATGCATGAATAGAGCGACAAGCAACATTTCCTTGGTCTCCTCTATCATATGAACCATAAGATACATTTGTCATTAAATATTGTTCACATTCATCGACACTTGAATATTGTTGTAATGTTCCAAGACAGAATGTTTATGTAACATTACATATGAGATATATTGTACCTTGACGTTCTACATATGTAGATGGATCAAATGTTAATCCAAAATTTCGTATTTGTCCCTCATAGCCACATAGTTTATAATCTTTATCAAAAGCCATAATTGTAAAAACAGTTAATTGTTTATTACCAGTTAAATACACTACTATTTCGTTTTGAGCATGATCAAATATTCATTATCATAAGCAATTCGTACTAAATCAACTGTCTGAATATTATATGGCCGTGGTGGTAAGTTGGGTATTGAACATTGAAGTCCATATAAATATTCTAGAGCTAAAATTTTGGTTGGAAATGTTCCAGCTGGTATAACACGACCAGATAAACCTTTTGGAGATATATATTGAGATTGTATATTGTTTTGATCTAATAAAATTTGAGCACAGACTGGAAATAGTAGTGATGATAACATTCGTTGTGTGGCGTTGTATAGTTTCTCATGAATATTTTTGTATAATGTAAAGCAATTTTGACATTGAAAAACATTTATAATTATAAATAGAAATAGAAATAATTGACAAAATGATAATTTCATTTTATTTTGTCTTGTAAAATATTTTAAAATAACTTTGAAGAAAAAAATCTAAAATAAGAATATAAACATAATGTTTGATGATAAAAAGAAAAGCAAATACTATTTATAATCATGCGTCATTCTTAAGTATTTATAAAATTCCATATTCGTATTACATCAAGTTACTGAATAAACAAACTATGAAATTATATTTAGGATTTAGTTAATATATATACTCGAAAGTATGAGTCGCACTATTTAGGTATTCTCTCTGTTTGACTGGACGCATTTAGCGTATTAATCAATTTTTCAGTCATGAGTTTGCCCTGATTGATATCACCGATAATATTAATACTTATATTTTCACATGTATGAGAGAGGAATATTATACACTGTCATTGGTTATTTCTATTTTTATATGCAGTGAAATGCGGAGATGTATTAAATTTATTTAGATAAATATAGAACAAACCAAAAAAATAATACAGCATATATCCATTCATATCAACAACATGATAATATTATAAAAAATACGAAAAAAAGCATGACTTTTCACTGAAACATATTCTTTTTTAAGATTATTACTTAAATACATTGCGATCAGATGACACGCAATCTTGAAAGGATTATTGTAAAGAATACGGAAGAGATGATTTCTGAAAACAAAATGCTTTTTATTGTTTTTAACAAGAAAAAAAACGAAAACATATATTCGGGAATTTTCGACCTTATACGGCCATTTTCAGCCTTACAACGAATTTAGGTACAACTGCAGAGGAACGACACTGCGGTACCCACACTCTTTGATGTGCCCTGTCAATTATACTAATTAGTTTAGAGGATGTCGTTATTCTGCAGTTGTATCTTCGGAATCTTGAAGAAAATTCAGTGGATTCAAAAAGAAAAGCCCGATAGGCCCTTCCATTACAATCTTTGATGCGAAACAAGCATCATGTTTTTATTGATAGATGACTTATTCATGTGGCGCACATTATTGATTTTTTCGTTGGTTATAGATTAAAATGATAAGATAATGGTATAAATGATCATTCTAAATGTCAATAAAAATAAAAATCATACTAATCAAAAACGCAATAGTAATATCTTGTCGCATAAGCAATGAGAAAGAAAAAAAAAACATGTCATGATGCAACTCATTCGTTTTCATGTTCATGTATTACTAAGGATATCAAATGACAAAAGAATATTGAATAGTTTTTAATTTTAGTCGCCACTTGATATATGCTGAACACCATTTCTCTTGGTTTGATGAAAAGAAGCGTTGTTATCAGATGCTAATATGATAATTTAAACAAATATAAATAAACTAAATGATGAAGTTAGTTAAAATATTTAGAGTAAAACAGATTATTTTTCTGTATCGATAAAAACTAATCATCCAAATCTTGCATATAATGATAGTAATACTCAAGAAATTATTTCATTGTCAAAGAGACATGATGATGATACCAGAGGTTCTGATCAATTATGCTCGTTTTTATTAAGTCACATCAAATGCTGCGAAATTTTCGATCTCGTACCGACTCAATAAAAATGACATTGTAAAGAACATAAAAACTTGAGTAAAACATACCGATTTTCTCGCAGGCGTACTTCTAACTCTCCATGAAAAATTTTTAAAATTGGTTTTTAGCATCAATAGTAAGTATCTTTCGTTCTTTCTTTCTTCCTCTCTCTCTCTGAATGACCTACATTTTTTGTTTTTGCTTTCATCGTTCTGTCTAACATGTATTCGAATTTATCAGCTTGTACATACAGTGGCGCTTAAAATTATTCATACAATCAATGAATAACGATTCAATTCTAATATCTTCTATCTAGTTCAAGATATCGAGCTAAGGTTTTCACCAAAGTGTAGCCAAGTAAGTACTCAAACTGTCTATGTCAAAAGTATCGATCCGATACAACATGTCTTGATCACACAACAATACAAATGCTAAAATCGTAAAATTTTGATTTGTCTCAACATTATTCATATAGTTAATTTTTGACGAAAGAAACGATTTGAGTTCGAATGACAGATAAGAAATTAAACCACTGTCGTCTAAGAATTTCTCAGTTTGATTATTGTCCCTCTATAGAAAACTAATAATCATAGTTTCCTCATTTTATTCGGATGTCGAAAAAGCAAACGAATATAATATTATCTTTTTGAAAGTCTACCTATAGTCTTTTCTCTGATAGGTGAATTGAGAAATGTCTACGTATACCATAAGTGTGGGTTGTGCGTGTGGGTGTATCTATTGCCTTGATGCACACCAACATCTTAAGTTAAGAATAGCAGCTATATTCTGAATAGTAAAACATAACTTTTTGTATAATGAGTTGAAAAGATTTTTACACATTCTTCTCAGATGTCTTTTTAATGTCTTGAATTGATCAATTAAAAGATGAATTCCATGATATGAGCTCAAATATTCATTGATAGTCACTTTCTCGAATTTACTGGTATGCTTGCGAGTTGAATTGTAGCACACTTCTAAACGCCATATCTTTTTGTTTAGAGTCTGCAAAATTCTGGCTCGAACAAGTCAAAACTTTTCAGTTCTTTTGATTTTCAGATTCTTTTTTTTTCGGATTACTATGCATCATATTCTAGGCATTCGAGAATATTTCATCCAACATAATAGATTATCATTCAGATAAAAGAACTTTTAACTCGAAATGTTTATCAATCCATAAAATTGAATAAATTGAAAGAAGTATAGAAAACTCTACCCCAAAATCTAACCTATTCGGACATCATTCGTTTCATTTTTTTTCAGATTTCGAAACTATCTATGACATTGATAACTTAAACGTGATGAATTGCAATCGGTTAGTCAAATTAGTACCAATATGCAATTCAACTAAAAACACGTAAAACTCATCAATTTGAATCTTTGCTACGGGAATACAACGGAAAAAACTTCTTCTTTCGAGTCATCGTTGTTATCATTGCTAATAGGATATGAAGAGCCGCCATCGAACAACACAAATTTACTCAAGAGAACCAATGTAGCTGACTTTTCTTGTCAAAATTATGATTTCATTTATTATGTAGCATCATCTACTCAACGAACCACCACATTTAAACGTCGCACTGTATTCGTTGACTGCTATCTTGATGACTAATTTGCATGCTCTTGTCCTTTGATTATGCCGCACTGTTACGTTTTACTGCCTTTTGCGCCATGGACTAATTCAATCTATTCGATGTAAATTCTACTTGATCCTTCTCATTCTGATCAGTAATTGTTGGCACAGGAAATGAAGAAAAATAAAATACGCTGATTTCAGTTGTAATCATAGTATAGTGAGAAAATCAAGAAGGATCAATGCGGAAGAAAGCCTTATTTTGACCCACCCATCTTCACCATAGCAATAAACATACTTCGAGTACATACTTCTCTCTATCTCAATGACAAGATTGATAGAAATATAAGAAGTTTGAGTTGAATTATTCCATTATATGTTCATTTCCGCTCCAATCCACTTTATCAAACTACATCTACATCTATACCTTTGGCGTACATAAACTGATTATATGAGATTTGTTAAAGAACTGTTGTTATTCTTTATCATAGATACAACTGAGCTTTCATTTTTCCAGCATGAATTCGAACTTCATACAAATTTCCTTTAAAAAATGAGCAGCGTCAATCAAAAACTTAAGTTCCTTTGAGGGATATCTCAAGTGTTGGGTGTGGGTGGATGGGACTAAATGGAGATCCACATTCACCCACACCCACACTCACATCCACACCCACACCCTCAACAGATAGTATGTTGAAGAATTGTTATTGACTAAGGAAGATTGCTTTGTTTTCCTTGTATTAAATTTACTATCAAACAAATATTTTTTCTTATATTAATAACGACGAACTTCTGTCAAACTTCGGTTAAAAGCAAGTCAGGCATCTCTGTTCTTGAAGTAATAAGATTCCTATTTACCTTTGGCCGCTATAGAAAATCAATGTCAACAATGCTCCTTTGCAGCAATGTTTTATTAAGAGAAATTGATTTGGTAATCATTTTTTATCATTACATATATTCTACATGATTTGATATTATTGAGGATGTAAGTGTGGTTAAAGAGGGTGGGGTGTAGATGTTGGCGTGGTTAAAGAGATCTCTACGCCAACACCCGCACCCGCACCCACATCACACCCACACCCACACCCTCATACGGATCTGCATATGTCTGTAGTAATTTGTATGAAAGCGGCGAACAGACGCAAAAAGTTTTTTTCGTTCTTTGATTATTTTGAAGAACTCTCTTCTCATCTCTACAAAATAAGATGTCAGTAGATTCGAGTGTAAATATCGATAAGAAGAACGGGAACTCATGTCAACATATTTGTGTTTCAAGCAATGTTTATTTAAATAGACACGTGGTACGTCATTTTTCTTTTACTTTGAGATAAAAAAAATCTTGTTAAACCCGAGAAAGCAATTATACGATGTAACTTGAAGAAAAATCAATTACATAGAGAATGGAAGCATAGCAAATTTATTTTTTTTGCTTTCTTTTAAACAAGAAAAAGAAACTTATATTCAAACTCATGTTTTGAAAAAAAATTGATGATTTCTTAACATTCTTCAGTTAAAATCTGTCTTCTTCCTGTCTAAATATTTGTTGCTAATCACGAAATTCAGCACTTAGTTAAACTATAAATTTCTACTGTATAATTTTATATCTAATTTGCTTAAAGCTCATTGCTGAAAACCAAAAGAAAGTATTCTAATCGTCTACTTTATAGAAATCTTTGAATATAATAACGACTGAAATCACTTAAAACTAGGAACAGTCGCATAAATACATTCAAAATTATACAAAACACTACTTTGCTATTAGTTTAGCATTGTTTGAAAGAATGCGCTGAAATAGGAGCCGT